CGATGTGCGGGGCTGGATGAATGCAAAGCTGGGGTGAAACTTGCTGGAAGAAACATTAACAACCTCAGATATGCAGATGACACCACTCTGATGGCCGAAAGCGAGGAGGAGCTGAGGAGCCTTCTAATCAAGGTGAAAGAAGAAAGCGCAAAAGCCGGGTTCCAGTTAAACATAAAAAACCAAGATTATGGCAACAAGAATGATTGACAACTGAGAAATAGAGGAGAAAACGTGGAGGCAGTGACAGACTTTGTATTTCTAGGTGCAAAGATTACTGCAGATGCAGACTGTGGCCAGGAAATCAGAAGACGCTTACTTCTTGGGAGGAGAGCAATGTCCAATCTCGATAAAATAGTAAAGAGTAAAGACATCAGAATGGCAACAAAGATCCGCTTAGTCAAAGCCATGGTATTCCCTGTAGTAACCTACGGATGTGAGAGCTGGACCTTAGGGAAGGCTGAGCGAAGGAAGATCGATGCTTTTGAGCTGTGGTGTTGGAGGAAAGTTCTGAGAGTGCCTTGGACTGCGAGAAGATCCAACCAGTCCATCCTCCAGGAAATAAAGCCCGGCTGCTCACTGGAGGGAAGGATACTAGAGACAAAGTTGAAGTACTTTGGCCACATCATGAGGAGACAGGAAAGCCTAGAGAAGACAATTATGCTGGGGAAAGTGGAAGGCAAAAGGAAGAGGGGCCGACCAAGGGCAAGATGGATGGATGGCATCCTTGAAGTGACTGGACTGACCTTGAGGGAGCTGGGAGTGGTAACGGCCGACAGGGAGCTCTGGCGTGGGCTGGTCCATGAGGTCACGAAGAGTCGGAGACGACTGAACGAATGAACAACAACATCCTTGATTCAAGGACCTTTTGCTCATAGCATGAAATTAGGGACATCTCTTTCCATGGATTTTAAAGAAAGCCACATAGTCCCACCAGGCATAGAACAGATACTTTGGACTGCAATCCCCAAGGTTCCTGACCATTGGCCATCATGGTTTGGCTTCATGGGAGTTGAAAAGTTAGAAATACCAGATTGGAGAAGACATGGTATGACTTGATTTGATAAATATAACTTGATTACTGTATGCTGGAGTATTAGCATAGGGGTGTGCTCATAGAATCCATTGGAATGTTTTAGGTTGTAAAATTATGTAAGGCAATGTGAAGTTCTGGATTGAATTCTATGGCCTTTTAGCACCAAAGGCTTATTGTGCTTTGATTCCACTTTTATTGCCCTGTCAATTCCTACTGAATCTTAGGATTTGTTGAGATGTTGGAGCTATCTGGCTGAAAAGCTAAACATCCCTCCCTAAATTAAAAGTCTAAGAATTCCATAGGATGTTGCTGGAACTGGAATTTGGAGGCACAGGATCTCCATGAAAGTAAAAAGCTGTAAATACTGTTTTACATTAGAGAACATCTCTCTAGCAATTTCTTGTTCTTCCAGCAGGCCTCAATTGGAAGCTGACCATAGAATTGCATTGGGTGTTGAAATGTGTTCTCTCTATAAACCTATAGGTCCTCCAGCAGGATTGGTGGAAGTTGACCACTGAATCACATTGGAGGACCTAGAAATTCTGAGAGGACCTATTGTAATCAAATCCCTGAATAATCGAATCTGCAAAAATCAAAATCACAAATGTGGAGAAACAATTGTAACCGTGTTTCAGTATGTCAGCATAACTGTGCCAGGAGGGGGGGAAAGTCTGCGGCCACAGTGGTATAAAGCAGCGATTTTCAACCTGGGGATCGTGAAGGTGGCCCCGCCCCCTCTGCTTCCTCAAAATGGCTGCCAGAAGGGGCGGGGTGGAAGGGAAGGTTCCTCATTCAGCCTGGCTATCCAGGGAGCCTTCATGCTTGGCCCTTGCTCCCTGCCAAGCTCGGAAGGAATGGGGGTCAAGCGGAAGGCTCCCTCGCCTCCCTCACACTCTCATCAGCCAGCAAGGGCACAAGACAGCCAAGGGTTCCTTTGCGCTAGGCCCGGCCTTGCGCAAAGTCTTCCTCGCCTGGCTGTTGCCACTTGCCAGCCGGCAGGGATGTGAGCCAGGCAAGAGGGTCCATGTAAGTCTTAAATACTCTTTAATGACAGGGGAACTGTATTTCCAAGCAACTGCAACTCCCAAATGTCAGGGTCTGTTTTCTCCAAACCTCGGCAGTATTTTATTTTGGTCATGAGAATTCTGTATGCTTTAATTATATTGAATTTGTAACAATGAAAACACATCCTGCATATCAGATATTTACATTACAATTCGTAACAGTAGCAAAATTACAGTTATAAAGGATGAACAAAAATAACTTCATGGTTGAGGGCTGCCACAACATGAGGAACCATATTTAGGGGTCACGGTGTTAGAAAGGTTGAGAACCACTGGTATAAAGGAAGTATGCCATTAAAAATACCTTATAACACCATGTTTGACTTTGGCAAATTGTGCATACTTTTACATTACTTTTATGTTATTTGGCCCTGATGAAAATGCAACCAGCAGTGCAACAGAATTGGAATCTCTGTCTGTCATCTTAGAGCCACAGTGGGCTACTCACAAATGGTGCTATATAGTCATCAGGTGACAAGCATGAACATGTGTGAACATCAAACAAACTTTGTATCATCTCTTGATTTAGTTTCCAAGTGATTTAAAAACGTTTGAGTCTGAAAGATGGGCTTACTTTAAATCAGCTGAAAAATTCCCACTATACCAGTTCTAGGAAAATCCCTTGAAGATCTGCTTTTTTAACTGAGTCATCACCATGTATTTGCCCTCCAGACAATTGTCTAAGGAGGGCACGCTCTATGCCTGCAGCAGGTTGTGCCCTGGATTCTGTGGAGATCACCCAGCTGATGAAACAGAATCCTTCTTGTATTGCTTATTGGAATGTTTATTGTAGAAAACTATGACTGGAAGGGCACATTTTGCTCCCTCATAAAGAACACTTTTAATGTTTGTGGGGGGGGGGGGTGGTTTGGAAATACCTGAAGTATGTGTGTTTATAACAAGAACCTGCACACCACCACATACACTATTTGAGGATTAGCTCCTCCTCCCCAATTCAGAAATATTAAAATAATGATTTGGTTCATAAATTGTGTTGTTGTTTATAGTGCGTACTTTCAAGTCACTAAACCACATGATAACCAAGAAGAAAGGCCTCGCCCAACCTGGAGAGTCTTGATATTTCTGATTACAAGTTTAATGTAACTATGGGAGCCACCAAGTAAACCCAGCGATATGGTCTCCACAGGTCAAAAGTGATTTGATAGAATATAAGAAGAAGATTCTCCCACCTTCTCTCCAAAAGGAGACGTTTCTATTCATAGAAATGTTTGGAAATGTCTCCTTAATGTGATGCTGTCGTGCTGCAGGAAAATGATTCATTTGTTCTTCTTATCCTTCATATTTTACTGGCAAGATACATGCCTTTAGAAATATTCTGCACAGAGATTGAGAGAGGTGCCTGTGCCTTTCCCTGTGCTAAATTAGTTAAGGGTGTAGTGAACTCTGCAACCTAGATCCGAACAAGAATTTGGGAACCTTGTGTAACACAAAACCAGCTTGCTCTGCTAGAAAACTGCTCATGATTGGCAGCCTAGTGAACCTTTAGTTGCAAAAGTCATGTCAGTGCTTGCTGCTTTCTGTTAAAGCATGCAGAAATCCTGCAGAAATGGATGAGCCAGATTAAATGTATACAGATTGAATATCCCTTAATCAAAATGCTTGGGATCAGAAGGTTTTTGGATATTTATTATTATTATTTTGAAATACCGTAGAGTCTTGCTTATCCAACTTTTGCTCATCCAACGTTCTGTATTATCCAACACAGTCTGCCTCCCACCCAGATGCACAGCTGTTTCATTACGATGTTTTGGTGCTAAATTCGTAAATATAGTAATTACTACATAATGTTACTGTGTATAGAACTGCTTTTTCTGTTGATTTGTTGTAAAACATGATATTTAGGTGCTTAATTTGTAAAATCATTATGTAATTTGACATTTAATAGGCTTTTCCTTAATTCCTCCATATTATCCAACATTTTTGCTTATCCATCGTTCTGCCGGCCCGTTTAGATTGGATAAGCGAGACTCTACTGTACCTGTGTTTTCATACACATACCTAACCATGGAGATAGGATCCATGTTTAAACATGACATTCATTTATGTTTCATATAAGTCTTGTACACATACCCATGCCCTAACCTTATTTTATGCATACTACTTTAAACTACTTTGTGCATATAACAAAATTCATGTACGACCAAAAAGCAAAGATCTCACTTTCTCGGCCACCTGAATGAACCATTTTGGATTATTTTGGAATTCAGAAAAGAAATCTTTTGATTTTATTGTTAGCTGCTTTGTGTCTTTTTTGAGTGAGTTAAAGTGGGAAGGAAATAAAAATAAAAAATCCTCTTTTTTTACAACTACCATTTTAGGTTGCCTTCCCCAAATAATTAAATATATTCCTGCCTCATGTATAGATATTGGAGCAATTAAAAAACCTCCTTCTTTGGAACACCCTCCCAAAAACTGGCAACCACCAATTTTTCTCCTTTATTTCTCTTAATTTTTATCAAAATAGTTTTAAAATATAAATGTTTGCTTTAGAAATTTCAATATCCATTTTTCAGGTTTCAGTAGTATGGTTTTATCATCCCTTTATAACCAAATGTGTCTGTTAGGGTGACAATATTCAATACTGATGACTAGGAGCAAGTGAATGCTCCTTTTTCCCCAGTCATGGGAATTTCTCAATAGCACTGTGCTCCTAATCGGAATAGTAATGTAAGCGCAACCCTTTTGTTCATAGTTGACATGCAAGAAGGCCTATAGGGTTACGTTGCTATGACAGCCTGCGGTACACTATGAATGAACTTGCTTTTAAGTAGCTAAAGCACAGCCTCTTTTGCCATAAGAAACCACTGGTTGCTTTTGTAATGCTACCGTAGTAATACTCTTATCACATTCAGGCTGTTTTGTTCTTTTTCTTAACTTTTTAGTGATGAAACTGCAAGGAAAGATCTAAAGAACTTGCCTGCCTTCCCAACTAAGACTCTTCAGGAGCACCCTTCCCTTGCATACTGGTAAGACATTTATTTAATTTGCTTGTTGATTCTGTTTGTAGCCTCCTTTTTCTTTAGTCTCATGTTCACGATTCCTTTTTCCTGCTCGCTTTGTCATCACTGCTGCCCTGCAGAGAAATAGAAAAAAATCAAATAAGTGTAACCAAAGTCACCGGGATTGTGGCGCAGCTGGCTGAGTGTCAGCTGCATTAAGATCACTCTGACCAAAAGGTCATGAGTTCGAAGCCAGCCCGGGCTGGAGTGGGTGTCCAGCCATTGTGTAGCCCGTTGTCGACCTTTGCAACCCGAAAGACAGTTGCATCTGTCAAGTAGGAAAATAAGGTACCACCTTGTGTGGGAGGCTAAATTTAACTAATTTATGAGGCCATAAAGAAAAGACTCCGGGGAATGTGGAATGCGGAAGAACTTCATCGGTGTCGTTGATGGACGATGAAAAGCAGCAGCTCCCCTGGCGGCCAGAAAAAAGTTAAATAGCCTTTGTCTGTTAAATGTTGTTTGTCAAACTGGCATTGAATGTTTGCCATGTATGTGTTTACTGTAATCCGCCCTGAGTCCCCTGCGGGGTGAGAAGGGCGGAATATAAGAACTGTAAATAAATAAATAAATAAATAAATTTGGTGACCTTGGCCGCTGAGCCGGAGTTTGAGTTTTTCTAGTTTTCCATGGTTTTTCTATCCCATCAAGCACTGAACAGAATCCACCACACTGGTTCCCACACCCATCTAACACACATGTAAATACTTTTATGAGACTGTTAAACTTTCCTTTCAGGTGGTAGCTATTTGGAAAGCAGTTGAACAAACAGTATAGATTGTGGTTAACCCAAACTCTGGAAGTAAACACTGCCAAAGGAGTTTAGAAGGCTGCAAGTATATTTGAATTCAGATCCAGGATTTAAAGATAATTTTATATGTTTAAGAAAACAATAGCTCAGCATGTGAACAGGATGCAACTCTATACACAAACACACTCCTGAATGAACACACTAGTTGTAACCAGTTATTTTTCAGTAGGCAGCTCTAAAAGGTAGGTAAAGGTTTCCCCTGACATTAAGTCCAGTTGTGTCAGACTCAAGTTGGCGCTCATCTCCATTTCTAAGCCAAAGTGCCAGCATTGTCCGTAGACATCTCCAATGTCACATGGCCAGCATGACTGCATGAAGCGCTGTTACATTCCCGCCGGAGCAGTACCTATTGATCTACTCACATTTGCATGTTTCAAACTGCTAGGTTTGTAGAAGCTGGGGCTAACAGAGGGAGCTCATCCCGCTCCCTGGATTCGAACCACCAACCTTTCATTCAGCAAGTTCAGCAGCTCAGTGGTTTAACCCACTGTGCCACTGGTGGGACCCGGTGACAGCTCTACTGCTAGTTAAATAAAGATGAAGCATTTTGGACAATTTAAATACCAGTCTTTAATAAAAAGCATGGTAGTGGTAACCTGGATAGTGCAGTCGCTCTTGCCCATTTTTGGTCTAAAACTATTTAGCTGCTTGTGTTCCCTCTTTTTTAACAGTTTTTTACTTGTTTATTTATGCAATGTTTTTGACCCGAAATAAATAAATAACCTGGATATCTAGCTGTGAAAGATATTAGGAAAGTTTCCTTGGAATCATAGGCTCATAGAGTTTGAAGAGACCCAAGGACCATCCAGTCCCAACCCCCTACTGCCAAGAGGAACACATAATCAAAGCACCCCCAGCAGATGGCCAGCAGGTTAAAAACCTCCAGAGAAGGAAAATCCATCACCCTCTGAAGCAGCATATTCCACTGCTGGATAGCTCCTCCCATCAGGAAGTCTTCTCTAATGTTAAGTGGAAAATTCACCCCTCCTCTCTGCAATTTGAATAAATTGCTCTATGTTCCTTCTTGGACTACAACTCCGAGAATCCTCTAGGTCAGTGGTTCTCAACCTGTGGGTCCCCAGATGTTTTGACTTACAACTCCCAGAAATCCCAGCCAGTTTATCAGCTATTAGGATTTCTGGGAGTTGAGGGCCAAAACATCTGGGGACCCACAGGTTGAGAACCACTGCTCTAGGTCAATGGTTCCCAACTTTTGGGCCTACAGGTGTTTTAGATTTCAGCTCCCACCATTCCTAACAGCTGGTAAACTAGCTGGGATTTCTTGGAGTTAAAGTCCAAAACACCTGGAGGCCCAAAGGTTGAAAACCACTACTTTAGGTAGTATGGCCAATAAATGCGGCCATATTGAATGAGGGGTTCCAGGGTGATTTAGTTTGAAAAGGGGAGTTTTCTGTAGCTCTGAAAAAAATGCTATTAGCTTACTGCAATATTGCATGTAAGTTGCACAGCCATTCTCAGTCTTTCTTGAATTTTTAGCTGAAATAAAACAGTAAGCTGCAAGCAAAATCCACTTCCATTTTTACAGATCTATTGTATAGTGTATTGTATAATGTATAATTTGTATATTGTATAATTATTTGCATAATGTTGACACCATGGGCTGATCTACAATTATGTGCCACCTAAGACAAAGGGCAACAATAGTGATACCACATAGGTCAGTGTGACTTTATCATTATTGTTAAGTGCTTACTGACCTGATATAGGAAAATAGGAATAGAAAAATTGCCTTTGCTAGTTGTATGACCTAGTTCTAAAAATGGAATAGTGTGTGTATCTTTTGTATAGATTTGTTATATAACAGCCTTGTCTAACCTATGGATTAGGCTGTAATAGTTATTGTGATCCATATTTGGAGGACAGGAGGCTGAGGAAGTTTATCATTCAGCATAGGAAGTTTTCTGACAAGTGTGGTACAGCTACCCCAGCTCATGTTTCTCTAAACAATCCTGTCTGGCAGGGACGGCGGCAAGAATGCACCTGCTGACAAAGCTCCACCTGCTTTTGCAAAAATTCAATTTTCTACAAGCTTCCCACAAAGCTTGCACAATATTGCAGACTTAATTACAAACCAGAGCCCAGCATGCTTTCTCAAGAGAACTGACCAGTAGTACTGTTCAGAATAATAAATCGCAGAATCTCTGCTTGGAAAGTTACTTTGAGCACTATATTTCCCAGTAGCATGGTCAGTATTCTTCCTGGCTTTGAAAACCTTCCCACCAGAGCACTATCTATTGATCTACTCACATTTGCATGTTTTTAAACTCGCATAAGATGGGGCTAACAGCGGGAGCTCAACCTGGTCCCCCGATTTAAACTGACAACCTTTCAGTCAGCAAATTCAGCAGCTCAGCAGATTAATCTGCTGCACAACCGGGGGGCTTTTCTACCTAAATGGGACCCAAAGTGGCTTAAAATATTTTAAAAACAATACAAGTCAACCATACACATAACAGTGACCTATAAAACCAAATTTACAATAAGGCATAAATAAACATATTTAAAAACATTTAACAAATACAATTTTTGCAGGAAACTCAATACAGATGGCAAACTTAGCACAGCTTACTGAAAGTTAACCTAACTCACTCAAAGTTAGAGTACTACGTACAGATCAAAATTATTAAAATGTATCAAATCACTTTGGCACAGACCTGGAAAATTTCATTTTAAAATAAAAGAACGCATATCCCCAGCACTTTTTTTTTCAATTTTGTAAAATTTGTTCAGATGGATTTGGTACCTTTTTGGATACAAGCTCCACTATTAAGTTCTTGAATTTGCAGTGCATGTTCTTTGCAGAGAAAGGATGTGAAGTGACTTTTATGTATCTTGAAAAAAGCATCCTTAGCTTTTTTTTTTAAAATGTAACAGTCCTATTTATCCTAATGGACCATTCTGTTTCTTCCATCCACAGTGAGGACAGAGTCATTGAACTGTATATCAAAAATAAAGGTCTGACCAGAGGACAAGCAATTGTTGAGTAAGTGTCTCACTTGGGTTTTGGAGGGAAAGGCGGGGCGTAATAGAGGACTTGATAATACCTACCTTGAGTGTTGCAACACAGCTTGGTTACTTAGTTATTAATGGTTGGTGGCCAGTGATAGGATAATGAAAGGAGACACTTTCGCAATAGCTCAGAATGACAGATAAGACCTATTCCGGCCCTTTCAGAGCCCTGCAGTACGTTCAAACAATTTATTCTATCGGTATCCACACTATCCTTTATCCAAAGGCCCTTGGTTTCTTTGTCAGCCGGTAAATGCATTTCATAACCTGGAGCAGAACCAGGAACTGATCTGACAGCAGAAGCTGTGTAAACAACTGACAAATCCTATCAATGGGTACTTTGCCGGTCAGATCTCATTTCCTGGATATATCTTTTTGAAGTTTGTGTGTGTTTTTTTATTCAGATTTCTGTCACATAGGCATAAAAGTAGGTCATCTACATTTACAGTGGAAGTACGCTATTCAGAACTAAATTTGGAAAACAGTTCAGACCTATATTGTGGAGTTCAGCCGCTAGATCTGGAGCCAAGTTTGTAATGGAGTTCAGCTGTTCTACAGCCAAGCAGAACAGACTGAGCACCTGGCAAACTTCCCCACAACAATAAGAACTCGAGAGACTTCCCTCCTCAAAAATAAGAAAACATCAACTGCATTTTGCTGAACGCTTGGGAAAAGTTGACGTTGTAGCATTTTGCTTTATATGAACTGATTTCTTAATGATGTGTTCCAAAAAACATTTTTTTAAAAAAATCTGTGTTTATGTACAACAAAAGTAGCTATCATTCTAAACTCATCAGCTAAATAATATGTGTTTGGCAGAAGACCGTCCAGAACAACTGATCCACTTGTGATTCTCTCTATGTAGGTACATGAAAGTGATTGAAGCTCTGCCTACTTATGGAGTCCATTACTATGGAGTAAAGGTTAGTGGGTGCTTGTTGCAAATACATTTGTTTTTATTATATATATGTATACATACATAGAAACATACAATCTTCAAAAAGTATTTTTCCCCAATCCCATTACCACCACATTCCCACCCGCCCCCGCCCCCCCAATCCAGGAACAGTTTACTACTCTTGCTATACTTATTACAGTTGTTCAATCATAAGGATAGTCTTATTTAACTCCTTATATCTATCTTTCCCCTTTATTCTGGAAATGAGACCCTTCCATTTTGCATCCCAGGTCCTTCTGATTTGGCCCGTTCTATAATAACTTTTCCTTTCACTAATATAACCTTGGAGTAGGCATTATTGCAAATACATTAAGTTCAGAAAGAGAGGTTCAGCTTGGAAACTATTAGCAGAAAATACTGCTTACTGTTTTCTAGGTAGTTATGTATACGTTGTTTGCCATCCAGCTAAATTGCAGTGAGGTTCACAATTAAATGTAATTATCTAATTAAAATAGCAAGTCAGCATGGTATAATGCTTTCAGCATTGGACAATGATTGTGTCCACACTGTAGAACTATAGCAGTTTGACATCAGATTAACTGGCTCAATGCTATGGAATTCAGAGATTTGTAATTTTGTGAGATATTTACCCTTTGTCACAGAGCTTTGGTAACAGAACAAGCTACAAATCCCAAGATTCCATAGTATTGAGCCATGGTAATTTAAATAGTGTTAAACTACTATAATTCTGCAGTGTGTATGGTCTCTACAACTTTGGAGAGCAAAGTGGGATTCCTCATTTGGCTATTGAAACCCATTGGGTGATCTTGGTCAGATCATACACTCTCAACCCCAAAAAGAAAACTCCATGATAGGGTTGTAAGAAGTCAGAAATGACTTTAAAGTACACAACAACAACAACAACAACAACAACAACAACAACAACAACAAACAAACAAACAACAATTAAAATACTACAAAACACAAAATAAAAACCAAAATACTTTGTAGAAACAATTAATTTCCATACACACACACACACACATTATATATATATACACACACATATATATACATACACACACACGCATAGATATATATAGAGAGGAGAGGGAGGGAGGGAGGGAGATAAATACAGATAAAATTGGTTTGAAATGGCTGGGAGAATATAAATATCTGGATTCCTGAAAAGATGAAAATGTAGTCAACAGATTTTTTTTCCTGGGGAGGGAATTCCACAATCAAGCTGCCCCTGATGAGAAACCTCATTATTTTATATTATGGGATTGAAGAAAGAATACTAGATTGTAGATAATAATGCATGCTGGAAGTGACAACCCTGCATATTCAGAACCTTATTCTGTTCTCCTAAGAAAAGTTAGAAGATGTTGCCATGTTTAGATGGTTCCTTGGACTCTCTTTGTGTCCTCATGCAACCTGTTATGAAGGCACACATGAAAGAGTTGCACGGTGCTTTAATAATGAATTAGTAGATACCAATTAAGAGTTTCAATTATAAATGCTGCTTCTGAATCATTGAGTATTTAGAAACAGAAGATGTTGCAGACATGGTGAATATGGTCACTAAACTTGCCTCAGTACAGGCTAACCTGACTTGAAAGAGGGAAGAATCACTTTGACCAGAAATCTTGTTAGTGTGTGAACTGCAGTAGTTTGATCTCTGGAGAAGCAGCAATATACTGTCACACAAATAGTCTCAGTAAATAAATGATGAAAAGAGAGGTGTGTCTGAAAAGATTTTGTAGCAGGTTTCAACATTTATTTGTTTAAATACTTCTAACCTGTTATGACAGTAAGTAGATAAAACAAAATAAACAACTACTAATGAAAATCAATAAACAAAGTAAAAACACATTAGACTATTCGTATATGTTTAAAAGAGGGATGTTTTAAACAAATAAATGTAACAAATAAATTAAGCTACAAACAGTTTAATAAAAAGCTATATCTTGACCTTGTGCCTAAAAGAAACCAATGTTGGCGCTAATCAAGCTGCAAAAAGTGGGTTACTAAACCCACCAGTGGAAGAAGCCCCCCTCCCCCCCCCCTGAAAGATTGGCATTCTCGCCCAGATCAATATAGGGAGAGGTTACTTCAACAAACATTAAGGTTCCAGACCAATTAGGGCTTTGAATATCACCACTAGCATCTTGAGCTGAGACCAGAAGCAAATTGAAAGCCATGTTCATTATTGACACAGCTGAGTTAGTTGCAAAAGTGGAAGGCAACATGTTTTTTAAAACTGTTTTAAGCTGTTCTTATTTCCCTGAGTCGGAATGTTTAGGTGACATGTAAAGTACATTATTGCTGTAGTGTGCCTTCAAGTTATCTTTGACTCATGGTGACTGCAAGACATGAGTTTGTTGTGGTAAAATTTGCCTTTGCCTTCCTCTGAAACTGAGAGAATACTGATTGCCCAAGGTCACCCAGTTGGATTCCAGCCCTGGTCTCCCAGTGCTCAAATCCCTATACCAATACCATGCTGGCTTTTGGACACATGTGAATACACACACACAGAGAGAGAAAGAGAGCATAGATACAGTGTTATCTGATGAACTGTTACACTGATTGAACTCCTTTTGATTGATTGGAAAGATGACCCTAATATGTCTGGCAATATTTTCAATATAGTTGTAGTACTTGCATGGTGCAGATAATAGTACATCAGGTCCTGCATCTGATAAGAGTGGATCACACAAAAATGGATGTGCAGAGGTGCCTCTTTTCAGATATCTCATGAAGTGCAGATAACCAAGGCAATGCGCTCTATTGTAAAACAGTGGTGTCCAACCTTTGGTTTTCCAAGTGTGTGGGATAGCAGCTCTCAAAAACCACAGGCAGCTTGGCTAATGGTCAGGAATTCTGGGAGCTGAAGGCCAAAACAAAAGTATTGGGACTCTACGAACCCTATGCTAGTTGCACAACGCGCGTCAGAATTAATGAAGGGAAGTCCACTTGGACTGTTCCCAGCTGCTGGGGCTGATTTCTTCGAAGGGCGGAAAGGGTGCTGGCAGCCGGGAAAGGTTTTTACAAGGCCCTAGTGCAAACAGAGCAGCAGGAACCAGATTCCCCCTCCCCCTTCCTCTCTTCTTCTGCTTTCCCCCGCCCACTTTCTAACTGTGGAGGAGCCGGGGCTCCGGGAGGACAGGACATGTGAGCCATAGACCCCCCTCTTCTCCCTCTTCTCCCTCCCTCACAGCTGTGCCTCTCACTCACTGCACTGTCTCACACACGTCTTCCCTTCATGATTTCTGACCCGCAGTGCGCAACCAGCGTAATGTCCCAGCTATCATACTTTTGCCGATGTAAACTAAGCTTGTCAAACAGGCATGGACAAACTTCGGCCCTCTAGGTGTTGTGAACTTCAAGTCCCATAATTCCTAACAGCCTACTGGCTGTTGGGAATTGTAGGAGTTGAAGCCCAAAACTATGTCACCTGATGTAACTGATGAAGTAGCCTTAAGTCTATGAAAGCTTGTGCTACGAACTTTTTGCTATTAGATCCAGGCTAGTACAACTATGTTGCAGATTGTAGAGATATGTTAACATTATATAGAAGTAGACAAACATCACAACACAAAACTAATAGTAAACAAACCTAATTTCAGATGTTTAATGTAAGAATAAATTAGGATATGACACAGGTTCTCTTATGTTGTTAAAACTCCACCAATGTTTGTATGGGTGGAAATGTATTGCTGGTGGTAGCAAGTGTAAAGACCCCAAACAGAATATCCTGGGAGCACTCTTACTACTACTATTTTCTTTTATTAGCTTGGCGCTGATTTAGAATGAGTGGAAAGCACACAAACAAAAACCCAATAATGCTCTACTGAGGAATAGGAAACGTCTTTCCCTCCCTTGCCCTTACATACATACATACACCCAACTGGTACATGTTGGCATAAAGGGCTGTGGATGAAGTTGAAGATCCATAAGAATCTTTGAGGTTGCTGTGGCCACTGTAAACCAGAATGTTCTTGTTCACTTCTGCCATACTAGGAGGTTGGTGGTTCCCATGTCATCAGGGCCGTGGATCTGCTCATAGTTTTAACTCAAACTTGATCCACGTTTCTAAATGTTAAAATTTGAACTAAACCCACTTTGGAAGGAGCTCTGGAGTCCTTTGAAGGGCTCCTTTTCCTCTGGATGAAACAAGGAGCACATGTAGCAACTATGCCGTAGGTCATCTTTGAGATCTCCTCAAAATTTGGGATCCATCAGATGCCATGATTTTTTTTAGATGCTTTCAGGCCAGTCACAGTCTCAGTTTTAGTCATTCATCTGAAACAAGAAGCCAGTACTAGTCATAACTTAAGTAACAGGGATGTTGTAATAGTGAAATAACTTATTTGCTGTGAAGTGCTACATGTTATATTGCCTGAAGTTCTATGAAAATGAAAGCTTTCAGTTTCATTGAGCAAAGACATTAAAATAACAAGAACTATTTTACCTACTTCCTTTCTCGGTGTTTTGCATGTAAAGTAATTTATGCATGAAAGGTTCCAATCTTGAATGGAATGGGATGTAGTCCAGAATAAATATCTATAGGCTTGTGTTGCCTGTGTACATAGCCTACCCCTTCCTTTCAACTGTGGTCCAGTGCAGCTGTACGTTAGACACATCCCTTTTCAAATTTCTCTTGCTGTTGATGTTTTACCGCCCATGGATTTTCCTGCACTCCTGCCCCACCTGTCGCCTCTGTTTCAAAGAATGCAGTTTCTCTTCCCTGGTGCTTTCTGTCTGTTTGCACAGCATTTTCCAACTGGGAAAGGAATGGCAGACTACTTTAAACAATAATCGTTTACTCGGGTGACTGCAGGTGTGCTAACAAAGAGCTACCTAACCTGCAGATACTTCTTGCAGAACAAAGTAGTTAGATGTTCTTTCAGCTCAGAAGTTCTTGACTCTGACTTGGACCTCTCTGTTTGTATTTTTCCATGCTACAGGATAAACAAGGAATCCCTTGGTGGCTTGGGATCAGTTATAAAGGAATTGGCCAGTACGATTTACAAGATAAAGTCAAGCCCAGAAAAGTAAGTCTGCATATGTATGTGTTGGATTATGTGGGGGACAGCATAATAAAGTAGATAACATTTGGCTGTTATCCTCTAACCATTTGAAACAACTGAGTTCAGGAAATTTTGTTTTGACAGGGATGAAATATGTGTCTTAGAGAAGGAATGTTCCTCCTTATGACTGCAGGTGCCGGCATCTAACCTTGGCTGGCATTTCCCCTGGGAAGCTCTTTCAGATGTATTACATCTGTGCAAATTTTGCTCGGGAAAAGAAGTTAGAAAGACTTGTGTTTAGGCTATTTGTTTAGCGCAGTAAAAAGAGAGTTGTTAAGCAGGAACACTTCTTTTTTGCTGGACTTGTGGTTGACAGTCACGTGCACAACATTTATATTGTTTATTATCCTCCCAGGATTATCAGCAAGCTTAAAGCAATTCAGCATGTACTTTGTTTTCCACTGGGTGTGTTTGTAGTGGTTGTTTCCCATAAGCATTTTTCCATGTCTACATTTAAAATGTGGAGTCCCTGGTGGTGCAATGGGTTAAACCACTGAGCTGCTGAACTTGCTGACCAAAAGGTTGGTGGGTTGAATCTGGGGAGCATGGTGAGCTCCTACTGTTAGCCCCAGCTTCTGCCAACCTAGAAATTCAAAAACATACAAGTGTGAGTAAATCAATAGGTACCACTCTGGTGGGAAGGTAACTGTGCTCCATTCAGTCATGCCAGCCACATGACCTTGGAAGCGTCTACAGATAACTCTGGCTCTTCAGCTTCAAAATGAAGATGAGCACCACCACCCAGAGTTGGACCTGACTAGACTAGATGTTAGGGGAAAGCTTACATTTAAAAGAGTATTTTCTTTAAGCAGGGGAAGGGGAGCACTTTTTCTTAAGGTGAAATAATATGTCCTGAAGAATTTCCTTGGGGGGAAATGTTTGAAAACTCTTTTCATACATTTCTGCTGCATTTTCAAAGTGGCCATGTGTGATGTTCCACAGAGGCTGTGCCTCAAGTTCTTAGTCAAAAGGAAGTGAAGTAAGTAACCACTGGGATCATATTATTATTATTATTTATTTATTTATTTATTTATTTATTTACAGTGTTTATATAGGAGCCCCAGGTGGTGCAATGGGTTAAACCCCTGTGCCGGCAGGACTGAAGACCGAAAGGTCGCAGGTTCAAATCCAGGGGGGAGGCAGATGAGCTCCCTCAATCAACTCCAGCTCCTCATGCGGGGACATGAGAGCAGTATCTCTCAAGGATGATAAAAAACATCATCAAATCATTCAGGCGTCCCCTGGGCAACGTCCTTGCAGATGGCCAATTCTCTCACACCAGAAGCGACTTGTAGTTCCTCAAGTCGTTCCTGACACGACAAAAAAGTGTTTATATACCGCCTTTCTCACCCCTGGGGGGACTCAAGTGATAGTGTCACTTCAGATACCCAACAGTCTTCCTAGGTATTTGCCTAGACCACTGCTTATTAAACTCTGGGGTCCCCTTAGCTCTTTTAGACATTTACCTGAATCAGTTTGCAACATTGTGCAGTGATCACAGTGGACTCTGCAGAAGATGCTTCAGCTGTACTTCATAGAAAGGAAAACTAGGCTGATTAGCAAGCCTTGCAAATGCTGGTTTGTTATCAATAAACATTTGAATTTTATACCGATTTTATATACCTACATACCTGGGGTCATGTAAAAATTTCTTGGGTAGCAAGAGGTCACCAGTGGAAAAAGTTTATGAAGCCCTGGCCAAGACTATAGTTGCCTCTGGGAATTTTCTGTTTCATTCAGAACAACTCTATGGTAAGTCGTTCATTTCAATAGGACTCACTATCCAGTTTCCCATTTCCATGGTAAGTTCAGGAATAGATCCCCTGTGGATATGGAAGTTGTACTGTAATTATTACTTCCAATTTCCATTCCTTTCTTTGGTTCCTCTCCCTCCCTACGTGTCTTGCTTCTTAGCTCTTTAACAGTGGGCTGGAAGGCTGGCCCTACCATTAGGCAGAGTCTGGCTATTGCCTCACTGCCTCTTGTCACTGCAGCACAGATTGTTAATAATTTGCTGTAATATTTTGAAGGTAATGGACAATGAAAAGTGCTGATAGGGGTTTTTTTCTGCCTCATGTACTGAAGTATTAAGGCTAGCTACAGGTACCACCATGCCAAACCTCCACCAAAGCACACTTTTCCACCAGGATATGAAATAGAGTTAGTATTGTTGTCAGACTGCGAAAAAGCATTCTTCTTGTCACAATTATTCCAGCCATGTCAGATTTGACGGAGAGTCTTGAAGAAAAGTTTGACTATGCTGTTCCAACCAAGTGTTATTTTCAATATGTGACAATACTAGAAGAAAGTTGCTCATTAACGTTACTTTATGTGTGAGGCTGTTTTTAGAAGCACTTCTTCTGTAATGGAAGCTGCCTTGTGTTCATCCAGATACATGATATTGAAACATGCACATAGGTTGTGGGGTAGAGTTTGATCTGTTATCTCTTTTAAGTTGGGACACAATACCTCAGAACTGTTTGCCACTTTAATGGATTGTCAGGAGAACATGAGCCCAACAAACAAGATGTTATCTAGCACTTTCCTTCAGCAGTCATTTCCCCCCTTTTTTGAGCACGTGATAGTGGGCAAAGGAGCCATTCCAATTTCATTCCTCAGCAAACCATAAATATTTGGAAGGAGCTCTGAAGTCCTTTGAAGGGCCCCTTTTCCTCTGGATGAAACAAGGAGCACGTGTAGCAACTATGCCATAGGGCAAATTCACCATGTTTCTTCCCAGCCACACCTCTATACTTTGCATGTTCATCCAAGCTGCAAGCTGGTTATTCTGCTATTCTATTTGCCTCCAGAGTGATACAGGGGTCAACAGCTGGTGTGCATTTTTCTGATGTTTGCACATTTCGCTAAAGGGCATTGGTTTCTTTGGGCTTCTCAGAATACAGTCCAAATAAAGAATACAATCCAAATAAGTGTACAGATATTGGTACATCTGGCCAACATTCTGGAAAACGTCTGAATCTTCAAGTGTCCCAATGTAGGATCAGTTTCGACCTTCAGAGTATGGAGATGATCAGATGTTTAGGACTAGGGAGTTCCTCAGATAGAGAGAATTCCACACATCATCTGGATTTAGATATATAATCTAAGTTAAGAAAATGGATTCACTGGCTCCTGATTCCATTAGATATTTTATTTTGCCCAGAGAGACAGGTTTATGATACCAAAGAATTGACAAAGTTTCTGAAATTTACCTTTTTTTGGACAGAAACTCTTAAAATCCCCCAACATGGCCACTGATTTTGGTGGGGGAGTTTGAGGACTGCTCCTCCAGAAAAGTAATGTTATCTCCTGTGTCCACTGAAGATAGTTGAATTAGATCAAACCTGCACAATCTGTGACCCTTCTGAAATTTTAGACTTCAGTTCCTGGAATTCCTCATGATTGAACAAGATGGCTAAGGCTTCTGGGAGTTGGAGGACCAAACACCTGAAGGGTCACAGGTTGTGTAGACCTGGATTAAACAGTCCTTTGGTCTGGTCCATCTTAGGTCTTCTCTTGCTCCAATAAGGTTGTTTTGGTGCCGTGAACGCCAGATATTTGTTTCCCCACCACACCCCAGTCACGGGTTTCTGAGATAGCTAGACAGTATAAGCAGAGAAGGAAGTGTGGGAAACCAGAGTCCAAAGGAGGGGAAAAGAGCTGTCGAATTATGAGGCCAGACAGCTTTTGAAAGCAGTTACACCTTTTAAAGGAAAGCGTCATAGAAGAGAAGTGGAGAGTGTGATTTCATCTTTACACAGAGGGTGGTTCTGTATTTGAAATGCACAACAAACTGTAAAAGCGAGCAAAGGCAATGAAAACTTAGAGTGTTTGCAAAGTGAAAATAGATATGTTTGATAAAGGTGTGTGTCAGAGAGACGATCAGTTTCTCCCAATATGTTCAGACCCATGGATATATTTTCTGAAGTTTCAACTAGAAGTCAGTACGGATTCGCAGTCCTGTTGCTATGGTAGCCATCAACTGATACTGGACATCATCCTATTCTGTGGGTTTGCCTGCTGCATCTTCCATTCCTTCCTATACTACCATAAACGTCCATTGATAGAGGAATGGAATGGGTTCTGTGATATCTTTTTTTAATTGATATGACTTACAGCCTTTCCTCTAATCTGACATTCCCCCCAGTTACACTTGTTTTCCTACTCCACTCCAATTGTTTTGATCAGGACTACAATGGCATTTCCAGTCAAAAGGTATGAAGCATTGGCTAGTCCAATAGAGTTTATCAATTCACTCAAGCTGCTCTGAGTCCCCTTCGGGGTGAGAAGGGCGGCATATAAACGTAGTAAATAAATATACAGAAGCTTTTACCACTAAATCTCAATGGCCTACCTAGAAGCAGGGCATTGGAGCAAATTCCATCTGAATTTCTAAAAATCACTCATTCGAATTATTTCTCTTCATCAGAAATGTTTTTGCCATGCCTAGGAAAAGAAGTTTGCTCTTCTTTTTTCCCAGGCATAGGTAAAAGAAAGTTTTAAAATGGCACACCCTACTCATGCTYCAAATTGTCATTAAGATTCCCTCTAAATGTACACATTTAGAGGGAATCTTAATGACAATTTGGAGCATGAGTAGGATGAGCTACAGCTCATCCCTTCCAGCAGATCCAGATATGCAGGGATGCACATGGTACAGTCCTGAAAGTGGTGACTGTGACTTCATGACCCATATGGTAGACTCTGCTTGACTTGAAATTCTTTTTTTTGCCTGAAAAGTAAAAAGGGCTATCTTGGAAATGGCGGGACTTTGGAAGGTTACTTTTCTGGACTGCATCTGGCTCTTGGAAATGGTTTTGAGTGGGCTATGAAATTCAGAGAAGGCAGGAAGGAGGAGCATGTAGTATTGCTCTGCAGTAGATTGTTGTGACCTCAAGAGAGATTTATAATACCCTTAATTTTACTCCACAGAAAGCAAAAAGGTTTTGGTCAAGCCTTCTTCC